ATATATATATATATATATATATATATATATATATATATATATATATATACATACCTATAATTATGAAAATATAAGCCGGGTCTACAATGAGTTAGTAGTCCGAAGTCGTGAGTCAGAAGTCTTAATCTAAATCAGTGCCTTTATCAATTTTTCGTATCCACAATAAGTCGCTAATCGTCAAATGAGTCGCTCGGCTCTCAATAGGAACGAAGAAAGCTGATATTTCGGAAAGGTAATTTTTTTACCTTTTATTACGGTTTGTTTTTCCAATACAGAAAGAAAAAGAGAAAAGATGAACCGTGTAAGAAGTTTAGCTAAAAAAAAAGAAAAAAACAGACCTATTGTTTATATCGGTTATATCGGTGACCATTGATGAATTGAGTGATATTAATTTATTATCTGAAACGTTCTATAATGATATGAAGATGGGTGATGAAGAATTGATCACAGTTATTATGCTAATGTAAATAATACTGTTGTTCTTGGTGGAAACATATTTTGAAAAGACACAATGATCGGAGGTTAGTTCTTTTTAATTTTTATCCAGAAATATGGAAATGATGATTTATTTAATTATTGAAATATTGAATTAGTAACTAATATTCTTCATTAATATTAAATGGTGGCGTAGACCTATCAATAGGCTATTCATCTAACAAGGAAATTTCATGAACTTGTTTCGTGAACTAAAAAAAACAGATCACGAGAAGTTTTACAAATATACAAGAACGACTCCCGCACAATTTGACTGGTTGCTAGAAAGGGTTAATCCTCTTTTAAAGAAGAAAAGCATGTGACGATCTTTCCACTAGAGCTATGTCTTGTCCTCACTTTGAGATAAATTTATTAATTTCATTTTTATTTAATTTATATATGTAATAATAAAAAATTATAATGACTAAAGTTAAAATCAAAAGCCCAAAGAGTCTGATATTGGATATTCTTGCAAAATACCTTAAAAGAAAGAATTCATAAAAAGAAATGTTCAGCCTCAATTAGTTCTTCAGTATTAATAAAATAAAAAATAAATTAAACTATATCTAAAAATAAAGAAGTTAAATATGTACACATTCTAAACTATAATTAGTAATATAATTTAATAAAAAACTTAATTTTATGCTTTTTATTAAATAATAATAATTGTAGTTTAGAACGTGTGTAAATTTAATTTCTATACTTTTACATACAGTTTAATTTATTTTTTATTTTACTAACATTGAAGAAGGCTTAAAGTTAAAACGTTTTATTTTAAGATTTTTTATAAAATCTTTTTTTTGAGACTTATCTTTTACAAGGATATCCAGCATCGGACACTTTGGGTTTTCATTTTTGTTTAATTTTGGATATTATTATTTGAGTTTTTATATTTGAGTCAAACTTATAGTATTTACTTCAATGTTTTAAATATCTTGGTCATGTCGACAATATATGGCAGAAGAAATGGAGTTTTCGTATTGGACGATCAACTGTCTACAAAATAATCTCGGAAACTTGTGCCGCAATATGGACAGCATTGCAGCCCATATACTTGCCTACAATGCAGAGGAATGACTGGCAACAAGTAGCACAAGGATTTCTGAACCAATGGAATTTTCCCAGCTTGGGAGCAGTTGGCGGAAAGCATATTCGTATTCAAGCTCCTCCAAGAACAGGATCGCTGTATTATAATTATAAAACATTTCTTTCGATTGTTCTGATGGCAGCCTGTGATGCAAACTATAAATTTACATGGATAGATGTAGGTAACTATGGTATGTGTATTGTATGGAATTAAGCTTATGATGCTTGCGTGCACTATATATATATAAAATATAAATTTTTTTAAGTGGCATTTCTGATGACGGAGTATGGGCAAACTCCGACTTCGGTCGTAGCCTGGAGAGAGGGCAAGTTGATTTATCTTTCTTTCAGCCTTGGGTTGGAATAATAGAACCAATATCATTTGTCGGTGCTATAATGCTAATATGCATTTGTGCTGTATTTCCTCTTAGAACTTTCATGATGAGACCATATGCAAAACTCAGACGATAGAGAAACCAGAGACAGCGGGAAGAAGAAGAGGAAAATGAAATGAATGAAGAAGATTATGATAGAGATGTTAGAGAGCTGGGACTGCGAGAAATAATTTTCAATTACCGACTTTCGAGAGCTAGGAGAGTCATAGAAAATGCCTTTGGCATATTGGTTTCAAAATGGATCATTCTGAAAGGCAGCATCGCCTGCAGTCTAGAAAGTGTGAGACAATTGGTGAAACAATTAGCCTTAGTGGTGCTCCATAACTTCCTCCTGTCCTCTGAGAAATAATTATGCAACAGCACCGGTACAATATCCAAGGATTAGATGATCAGAAAGGATCATATGATGAACTACTTCAAAATGGTGCCTAGCGTCGAGAAGTAATATAAATATATTTGAACGCATTGAGAGAATAGATGCTAACAATGCAGCTCTGATGCCATCAGATTTAAAAATAACTTAAGGGATTATTTCATAAGTGAGATTGAGTGGCAATATAATGTTTGCTACTCGAAATAATCTTATTATGCGAAGACCATTGTAAAATTTATTTATTTCATACATATTTCTAAATCATCAAGATTCATTTTTATTACTTTTGAGATGCAACAGTAAGACCAACTTTATCAGCTATCAGCTAAAGAAACATTTTTAGTTTTCTCATTTGAATAAATAACATTTATTAACATAATACAATAGAATTAAGTTAGATTAGGTAATAAAATAAGGAAGCATCAGATCTAAGAAAATATATTTATATACATAAGTAAATAGATAATACAAGTTTTCTTTTTAAATTAGTAATGCATAATATATTTAATCATGAAAAATATCTTAAAAAATAATACAAATAATAATACAAATAATAATACAAATAATAATACAAATAATAATAACTATACATGCAAAGATAATTTCTCTTTATAAAGATATTTTTTGTAATATTTTCATTAATTAAATATTAATATTAATTATATCATTGTGCATGTATAATTATTATTATATTATGTAATAACTTTTTTATTTTTTGATCAATACTTATAAAAATAGATATTGTTATTAATAATTAAAATAAGAACAAGATTAGAATAAAAAAGCAAGAATCTTAATTTCATTATATTTCCTTAGATTGTAATCTAACTTTATGTATAACTTTGTAATGTATGTAGAGATTGTTTTTCATTAAAATATTCATATTACCAAAAATTACATTTATTATTAGGTTAAGTATAGTACTTTTTTACATTAATAATATAAAAATATGTAATATATTAATGACAAATTATTTTTAAGAAATTGCACGATAAAAAATAAGTTGCATTTGAAAAATAAATTTGAGATAAATTTATTATTTTTAATGTTATATTTAAAAAATTATTTTGCAAGTTTTAAAGTTTTAGATTAAATTCTTGTAAACATTTCTATTAATAGTATATGTGTGATTATAAGATATACTAATAATTTTACTTTAATTGATAAAATTAACTGGAAATTTAACTCAAATCGATACATAAATATATGCATGACTAACTGAATATAATTAACATAACAATATTTACGTACAAAAATTTAACTTGTTATAAAATTTTAAAAACAAAAACGACAAAAGTTTTTTACATTACATATAGTTCTTAAACACATAATAAATAGATATAAAATAGATATAAAATTAATATATAAATATTATTCAACAAATTCTTCAATTATTTGAAGAATTTTAACCAAACACATTCTTCTTTTTGCTTTTGGTACATCTTGCATTATATGAGCAATTGTGACTGACAATGACGAAAGCGCACTATCTTCGGGAAATGATGATACTCTTTTAGTTTGTCAGTTTGATATAACAGTTTCAACAGTAGAAGCCATCCTGTCTGTCATCTTTGTAATTTTTCCAAGGAAACTATTCATGACATTTTTCTTTCATTTGAAGAAAGTATCATTTAGAGGTATGACAATTTCGGTATCCATTTTGAGCTTGAATTTATTGGTTTCAGTAGATGTACCACAAAATCCTGATCCTGATTCTGATGAAGACTCAGATGTATCTTTGGATTTCATTGCCTTGATAGATGGAGAGAAAGGCATGAATTGTACCTCGTTGTTTACATTTTTTTGAAAAGTTTCATTCGTAGGCGTTGACAAAGGTGTAGATGATAAAGCAGGCGATTTGTGGGTACTGGCGATAAAGAAGAAAAGCTGTTATCATCAGTACCTGCAAAACGAAACATGTTGAAATTATATTGCAGCAATCTGGACATCGATAATACAATTTTTTCCTAGAAATGGAAATGCGAAAAGTGAAGTTTCACGTAAATTCGATGAATAGAATTGTTGCATTTATGTGAAAGTTTTTACTTTTTGTTTTCGTTTCTAGAAACAAATTGTAAGAAACGGCGAATTGGAACAGTATCGACACCTATCGGTAACCGATCGAGACAGACCAATCAGCAATAGTGTCACGTGCAACCTACTGCGCATGACGCGACCGAGACCGGCGAAATTGGAGCAACCGGAGATCGGAGCAATGAGACGTGCTTTTGCGTTACGACCGCGAGCGTAGACAGTCGGACAGTACTCCTCTTAAAATCGGAATCGGGACTTAGCGCGATACCGACGTCCCAGCTGAAGCGCGAGAACTTAGACGCGAACGGACTCTCAGTTGCATTCGACTCGAGACGGATCGTTGCCGTTGCTCATTTTGTAAGGACTTGCTAACTGCGCCGCGAAGCACGGTGCCACGTGCCGTCGGCAAATATTGTACAGATTCGCTTGTGCGGGTTCTGCAATAAATAGAGTGATAATTGCACTAGTTAAACCTGATTTATTACGATATCCATCCTACATCAATTCATACAGATCGAGCACAACATCGCAACCAGTTACAGTCTTCCAGACATTAAATGAACGGAACGAGCGCGAATAAGATATAGACTTACAACTTATCAGAAGTGGGATTCAACCAGGACGCCTGAAGAGGAGCTGTAGTGAGAGCGCTATAAGCGATTACGCAAAGAAAGCCAAATGGATCGTCTACAACTGGATGGTATGACGCTCAATCAGCTGAGGGCGGAGGCCTACAAATTCGGCCTACCACAGCTGGACAGCAGGGAGCGGCTGATAGACGCACTGATGTCGCACTTCGAAAGCAACAGTCCCATGGTAGAGCTCATTGGTGGCGAAGCAGGAATCGGAATTCAGAATAGAGATTCGACGGCGGGAGAAGCAGCTCGCCCGGAACCTGTACAAATAACCAGACGGGGCAAGGAAAAGGCTCAGACGGGGCAAGGAAAAGCGACAGAAGGACGGAGTTTAGAACCGCTTACCCAAATGATGACCATGGTGTCGTCTCAGATGCAGCAGCAGATTCATCTGTTGCAACAACTAGTGCAATCCCTGGCAAACGGCGGAGGGACACCTGGGACGATGAGGGAGCGTCGCGTCGGATCGGAGACGTCGCAGGCAAACGCATCATCGACCCGGCAATTAGCTCGTCAAACCACTGTCGAAACGGCCTCTCCAGCACAAGCAGTGGCGATGCTGAGTCCGCAATACCGGAGTTCGCCGGATCTGAGGAGGAGAACGTGAGATTGTGGGTGCAACGAGTGGACAAAATTTCAAGTATATACGGAGTCTCCGAGGAGATTACCTTGCTAGCTTCGAGCAGACTGACACAAACGGCGAGGCGATGGTTTGACCTCGGTACCGGCTCGATTGAATCCTGGTCAGGACTCAAAGAAGCGATCCTAAAAAGGTTTGAGAGAAGGTTACTATTCCATGTAGCGGCTCGAAGGATCGAAGCGCGGCGTTGGAACGTTGGGAAAGAATCGTTCCAGCAGTACGCAATGGATAAGTTGGTGCTTATCCAACGACTAGATTTACCGGAGAGAGATGCCATACATCTGCTGATAAACGGCATCCCCAGTAGATCCTTGAGAGGGACTGCTTCGGCACTCCGAGTGGAGACAATCGACCAGTTCCTTGATGAGATGCACCAGATCGCTGCAGCAACGGCGGAACAGGACCGCAAGCCAGCGACGGCACCGAAAGGCGAACGGGCGAAGGACATCACCTGCAAGACGTGCAGTCGGAAGGGACGGCCAAGCAGTGCCGGTCCGGCGAAATCAGCTGCTATTTCTGTAAGGAGAAAGCGACGTGAAAGCGAACTGCCTGAAGTGGAAGAAGGACCAACCGACGGCAGCCGCAGCCAGACAGGTAGCTCCGGTAGCGGCGGTACAGGAGGAGACGGAAACGGTCGCATTTGTACAACATTGTAACGGTAGGAAACTTACCTTTAGCGATACGCCGATCGACGTCACAGCGATCAATGGGCGCGAATATAACCTCCGTGCGCTGCTCAACACGGGTAGCCCAGCTTCCTTCGTCAGCGAAAAAGTAGCCGAATTGTTTCACGAAACTCCACTCGCGTTATCGAATCCGACGCGAAAATATACGGCGGTAAATGACACTCCCGTAACGGTGCGCGGCGTGTTGCGGACGACGATACGCTTAAAACAATTGCCGGACGAAACGTACGATATCGACCTATGCGTGCTATCCGATAAACGGTTGGCGGTAGATTTGATAATAGGCCGAGACTTTCTCAATCGGCATGATATTTCGGCGCTCTATGTGCCGACAGCGGAAATCGAGCGTAGGGAAGAATCTCCGTTTGGCTATAGTTTCTGTCAAGGCTTAATAGCGGAGGCGCGAAACACAGAGAACGATCAGTATGAAGAGATCGTGACAGATTTCGAGAGCGAAGGGGGACTCAAGTTGAAAAAACTTTTCGCAGAAATAAAACAGACACCCGTACCCCCTCAGGATACGGAATATTTAGCGACGGTACAACTGAAAGATACCTCGATACATTCGCGTACGCACCACGTAAATTCGCACATCACGAACTCCAGTTGCGTGAGATAATTGAGGACTTAATGGAGCGAAAGATTATTAAAGAAAGTAGATCGCCTTATTGCGCGCGAGTAGTGCCAGTACAAAAAAAGAACGGGAAAACTCGACTTTGCGTGGATTTGCGTCCATTAAACGAACGCGTCGTGAAACAGAAGTTTCCATTCCCTCTAATCGAGGATTGTTTACTACGGTTGGGTAATAAAACGGTATTCACCCTCCTCGACTTAAAAGACGGATTTCATCAAATCAAAGTGCATCCGGAGCACACACATTATTTCGCATTCGCGACGCCCGACGGGCAATACGAATATACGCGATTTCGGATACAGTGAGTCTCCGGAGAAATTTCAAAAAAGGATCGTGCAAATCTTGCAACTTCCTCATACGCGAGGACAAAATAACGGTTTACATCGACGATATTCTAATCGCTTCCGATTCAGTGGAGTCAAATCTCGAAGTCTTACGAGAAGTGTTACTCAAGCTGAAACAGTATAACTTTGAATTAAATGTGGAAAAATGTCAATTCTTGCGGAAGCAAATAGAGTATCTCGGACTACGTTGTTTCAGAGAGCGGTATCACTCTTAGTGCGAGGCACACCAAAGCAATCTGCGATTTTCCGCGACCGAGAAACGTGCACGAAGTACAAAGATTTTTAGGTCTAAGCGGTTACTTCCGGAAATTCATCGCGAATTACGCACGCATGGCCAAACCGCTGTGCAACCTGTTAAAAAAGAATGTAAAATTTGAATTCACACAAGAATGCGAACAGGCATTCAACGAGCTCAAGGAGCAATTAATAGTTTTTCCGGTCTTGCGCACATATAATCCGTCGGCGGAAACGCAACTTCACACCGACGTGAGCGCGAACGGAATCGGAGCA